TGCATAAACTCATGACCCCGTGACCTATGACATTAATTCATCTGAACAAATGGTTTCCCCGACCTGCCGCGATAGAAGTTATTGCGAAAATGATAAAAGAAAATATGCTTTTTTGATTACATTCACAATGAACACAATGACAAAGTATTTCAGTATTTGCGGTCGAAGTTCAAGTTAAGGATCAGGTTAGAAGCCGTCGATCTTATCATAGCACAATACGAGATTCTTAATTACAAAAAAACGTTAAGCTTTCTACTTGACATGTAAGCAATTCGAATCAGACGTTGTTAGTTTTTCTTTATTTCTTTGTCCTTTTTTTCTGTCTTTCTACTTCTTTATTTTCTTTCTTCGTATCTCTCTTTTTATTTCACTCTGTCACTCGTTGACTCCCCCCTTTTTTACTTCCCTTCTCTCTTTTTCATTTTCTTTCTTTTCTTATCTACTTCTTTAGTTTCTCTTCATTTCTCACCTCAACTTATTTTCAGCCTCTCTTTATTTTTCTCTTTCTTTCTCGCTTTTCCCATTTCTTACTTCTGCTCTCCTCATTTCTGTTTTCTTTCTTCTTTCTTTCTCTCTCTTTCGATGTCTCACTTTTTCTTTCTGTCTTTTTCTTTCTCTGTTTATCTCTCTTACTTTCTGTCTTTCTTTTCGTTTTTTTTTTCTTTTTCTCGTCTCGCTTTTTTACTTTTTTCTCACACTTGTTCTCTCTTTCTCTCTATTCCTTCTTTCTTTATTTCTCCTTTCTCTCTCTCTCTCTCTCTCTCTCTTTCTCTCTCGCTCACTTACCCCCTCTCCCTATCTATTTCATACTCATAGTTTTTTATCGATATTTCACAGAGGGAATTCAAAGGAACGAGGTTATGTTGCCCCAAATCATTCACATAAGGAGGACATGCCTTGAAAATCAGCATTCAGTCTCCTGGACTTTACCACAGCTTGATACAATATCTGGAGTTATCACAGTCACCAGATAAGCACAACCGTGGAGCACGTGGTCTAAAATCAAACTGACTATATAATATTACGAAATCGAGCTCGTTAGCCATTACTTAACGGTGTAGCCCTCCTCACCCCCATTATTTCCTTATTTTGTCTTCCTTTTTCGTTTCTTTATTTACACACCTTTTTTTTATTTGGAATTGTTTCTAATCCTCACGTCTCCTCTCTCATACTCCCCATTTCCTTTACTGGTGAGAATTTTATGGATTGCCTGCTACGTGAAAATTTCTTTGCATTGGTCTACTGCTTGATAGACCAGAAATAAACTCGGCGTCAGATAGGATAACCTTTTAATCAGTGTTACCTAAGAAAGAGAAAAAACAGGTCAGATGACAATTTCTTTCGTGAGATTTCTCAACAAAACATACCTTTTTCTTCTTTTCTTCTTTATTTCGTCTTTAGTTCCTTTTTTTTTTCTATTTTCTTTCTTCTTTTCTCATTTCTATTTTTATTTTTCATTTTTTCTTCTTTTTTCTGTTTTCTTTTTCCTGTTCATTTTCCTTCTTTTTTTCTTGTTCTTTCGTTTGTAATTTTTATTTTCTCTTTCTTTTTTCACTTTCTTTTTCTTATTCTTTTGTCTTTTTAACTTTTTCTCTTTATCCTTTTTCCTTACGTTTTCTTCTTCCTTTTTTCTTATCTTTTCATTCTTTTCCTTTCTTCTTTCATTTTCTCATTTTCCTCGATAACTTTTCCATCTCTTTTCTTTTCTATTTCTTTATTTTCTCTCGTCTTTTCCTCTTTTTCCTTTTCTTTCTCTTTATTTCTTTTCTTTCATTTATTATTTTCTTTTTCATCATTTTTTTTCTCTTTTTATTTTTTGCTCTCTCTTTTTTCTTTTCTTCTTCTATTTGTTTTCTCCTTAATTTCCAATCCTTTCTTCGTTTAATCATCATACTTCCCGATCGCTCGAAGACTTTTCTTAAATTAAGAGATGAATTCATCCTCATTGTTGTGAGTCAGTTTTAATGAGGAACGGCAAATCGCGTTGGCTGCTGGGAACGGTGACTTCATTCCTGTTTCGTCACTGAAAACTACTCGAGACGCCACCTGGCGAGTATCGAATTGAATACAAAAGAGAAATCAGGTGCGTATGATTCATTTCTTTCACACTCGCACACACACACTCGCACACACACACACATACATACATACATACACACGTATATACATATAATATTGTTATTATGTCAATCCGGGTTGCTTAATTCCTGACCACCGACAATCCCTCCTCATGAGTTCTAATTCACGAAACAAAAATATCGTATCAAGATTTGAGATACAAGATATGGAACACATTTGGTTTCTTGATAAAACATATTCAAGTTGGTTCCTTTTGCAAATATATCAACCCGTTTTTAGGGTACTTAATGTCGGATATAAGAATTAATAGAAAGGTAGACACTAGCCTGATCTACGCTAAACTAAAAAAGGCAAACATAAGTTTAAATATAGGTCTGGTTTAGACTGAAGGTAAATTTAGTTCTGGTTTACACGAAAGGTAAATATAGGTGCCATCTATGCTTATGTCAAAAAGATAAACAACGGTCGAGTTTAGACAGGAATCTATTTTGAAAAAGAATAACATGAAGAACGAAAAATTAAATTATATCACTGGCATAAACAGACAAAAATTAATTTTATTATTATCACTCATGATAATAAAAAGTAAAAATGAAAAACGGGCTAGCTACATTTTTACTTTTTATTATCATGAGTGGTAATGATAAAACTATTTTTTTTCTGTTTATGGCAGTGATTAAATTTTGTACCACTAAATATATCTTTAATTATATATATATATATATATATATATATATATATATATATATATATAAGAAAATAAAACAAAATGCCTGCCCGCGTACTCAATTCCAGAAAATCCTTGTTGATAACACAACTATTCTTAAATATGAAAACAATAAACAAAAATTAAAAATTCTTAAAGCTATATGCATAAAACAGTTGAAACTTAACCTGAACTATGAAATTTCCACAAATATTCTTAAACGCCTATGATTTATAATAGAAGCCATTGGTTTATATCATCGGCTTCCCATACTTAATATTTCTCGTTTTCACTCTCGCGTGGTCATGTGTGACGTCACGAGCTACGACGCAATTTTCGCTTCCGCGTCTCGTATATACGAGTTTGTCGTTACTTGAAATTTTCATGCAGCAAGGGCGGACTATCATTGTTGTTTCGTCTATATGTTGTTTGATTTATTGAAATTATCATCTTTGATAATGGCTTGTGTAAGCCGAAAGCTTACATTGGATTTAAACATGGATCAATATGGTGTTTTCCTTTCGTCTTTCAACGATAATGTGATCGAGCTTATCAGACAATATGAAAGGAACTTACTTAAAATAAAAACTTATATATAGACAAAACTTATATATATATATATATATATATATATATATATATAATGAAAAACAAACACTAAAATACCATAGGTGATAGTTATTTCATTGAAGTCGATAATTTCTTTTTAGGTTTAAATTGAAAACTTTAGCTAGGTTCTGGATATTTTTTGAATATTTTTTAATGTTCTTAGTCATCCACTATTTTTAAATTATAACTGGTCTTTGAAGTTGAATACATTTGTGTCAGAATCTTGACCGAAGAAGAATCCAAACAAAATTTTGATTTTATACTAAAAATATTTTTCAACTCTGATTTACCCTTTCCTTTCCTTAATTTTATGTATTCTCAACTGCCATTTCATGTAACGATTTATGTCCACAATCCAGATGTTAAATTAGGTCACCACGGGTCCTAATGTCAGTTGATACAACTGAGACAAACACTTTTGGTTTCACTGTCAACTCATAAATAGACACCATTTCCCCCCGCACTTCCTACACGATAATAAAGTTACATCTTTCTTTCGCCCACTCTCTCTATATGAAATCACTATTTTTAATTGACTGGAATTTTCTATTTACATTTGGTTTATAGGTCTGAAGATTTGAAGCCGTTTTTAATCGAAATAAATATCACGTCATGGTATTTTAAGTGTTCGTTTTTCACTATATAATAATTATTGCTCTGTCTTTGACATGGAGTTCTCAACGGATCAATATCATCTTGGAAATCAGATAAACTAAACTGGAGGCGAGATCTCACCAGTTTACAGTTGAGTCTGCGAGATATAACCGTAAGTTCTATGCTAACATTTTCTTTTCTCGCATTTCTCGTTTTGGGGGA